TTAAGCAATTTGGGGTGATTTATCAATTTTTTCAATTTTTCTGAGTGCCTTTTTTCATAGATTTCGGCTTCAAATCTGAGAATAATTTAGTGTATGGACATTGGGAGATCCAAATGACTATTAGGACACAAAATCTCAACAAAAAAAAAATTTGAAATTTCATCGTTTTAGTAAGAAGGTACCTACCTTATGATTTAGATTTTGGAAAACTTTGAAAGGTCATAAACTTTTTTTCTATTATAGATAGAAAGCTGAAACTTTCACTGAATTTTATCCCTTTCAAAGGACTACAATCCCTGAAAATTTCAGCTCATTGGCGCTAATAGATCCTGAGATAAAATTGTGTAAGCAATTTGGGGTGATTTATCAATTTTTCCAATTTTTCTGAGTGCCTTTTTTCATAGATTTCGGCTTCAAATCTGAGAATAATTTAGTGTATGGACATTGGGAGATCCCAAATGACTATTAGGACACACAAAATCCCAACAAAAAAAAATTTGAAATTTCTTCCATTTAGTAAGAAGGTACCTACCTTATGATTTAGATTTTTGGAAAACTTTGAAAGGTCATAACTTTTTTTCTATTATAGATAGAAAGCTGAAACTTTCACTGAATTTTATCCCTTTCAAAGGACTACAAACCTGAAAATTTCAGCTCATTGGCACTTATAGATCCTGAGATAAAATTGTGTTAAGCAATTTGGGGTGATTTATCAATTTTTCAATTTTTCTGAGTGCCTTTTTTCATAGATTTCGGCCTTCAAATCTGAGAATAATTTAGTGTATGGACGTTGGGAGATCCCAAATGACTATTAGGACACAAAATCTCAACAAAAAAAAATTTGAAATTTCATCGTTTAGTAAGAAGGTACCTACCTTATGATTTAGATTTTGGAAAACTTTGAAAGGTCATAACTTTTATTCTATTATAGATAGAAAGCTGAAACTTTCACTGAATTTTATCCCTTTCAAAGGACTACAATCCCTGAAAATTTCAGCTCATTGGCACTTATAGATCCTGAGATAAAATTGTGTTAAGCAATTTGGGGTGATTTATCAATTTTCAATTTTCTGAGTGCCTTTTTTCATAGATTTCGGCTTCAAATCTGAGAATAATTTAGTGTATGGACATTGGGAGATCCCAAATGACTATTAGGACACAAAATCTCAACAAAAAAAATTTGAAATTTCATCGTTTTAGTAAGAAGGTACCTACCTTATGATTTAAGATTTTGGAAAACTTTGAAAGGTCATAACTTTTATTCTATTATAGATAGAAAGCTGAAACTTTCACTGAATTTTATCCCTTTCAAAGGACTACAATCCCTGAAAATTTCAGCTCATTGGCACTTATAGATCCTGAGATAAAATTGTGTTAAGCAATTTGGGGTGATTTATCAATTTATTCAATTTTTCTGAGTGCCTTTTTTCATAGATTTCGGCTTCAAATCTGAGAATAATTTAGTGTATGGACATTGGGAGATCCCAAATGACTATTAGGACACAAAATCTCAACAACAAAAAAAATTTGAAATTTCATCGTTTTAGTAAGAAGGTACCTACCTTATGATTTAGATTTTGGAAAACTTTGAAAGGTCATAACTTTTTTTCTATTATAGATAGAAAGCTGAAACTTTCACTGAATTTTATCCCTTTCAAGGACTACAATCCCTGAAAATTTCAGCTCATTGGCACTTATAGATCCTGAGATAAAATCGTGTTAAGCAATTGAGGTGATTTATCAATTTTTCAATTTTTCTGAGTGCCTTTTTTCATAGATTTCGGCTTCAAATCTGAGAATAATTTAGTGTATGGACATTGGGAGATCCCAAATGACTATTAGGACACAAAATCTCAACAAAAAAAAATTTGAAATTTCATCGTTTTAGTAAGAAGGTACCTACCTTATGATTTAGATTTTGGAAAACTTTGAAAGGTCATAACTTTTTTTCTATTATAGATAGAAAGCTGAAACTTTCACTGAATTTTATCCCTTTCAAAGGACTACAATCCCTGAAAATTTCAGCTCATTGGCGCTAATAGATCCTGAGATAAAATTGTGTTAAGCAATTTGGGGTGATTTATCAATTTTTCAATTTTTCTGAGTGCCTTTTTTCATAGATTTCGGCTTCAATCTGAGAATAATTTAGTGTATGGACATTGGGAGATCCCAAATGACTATTAGGACACAAAATCTCAACAAAAAAAAATTTGAAATTTCTTCCATTTAGTAAGAAGGTACCTACCTTATGATTTAGATTTTGGAAAACTTTGAAAGGTCATAACTTTTTTTCTATTATAGATAGAAAGCTGAAACTTTCACTGAATTTTATCCCTTTCAAAGGACTACAATCCCTGAAAATTTCAGCTCATTGGCACTTATAGATCCTGAGATAAAATTGTGTTAAGCAATTTGGGGTGATTTATCAATTTTTCAATTTTTCTGAGTGCCTTTTTTCATAGATTTCGGCTTCAAATCTGAGAATAATTTAGTGTATGGACATTGGGAGATCCCAAATGACTATTAGGACACAAAATCTCAACAAAAAAAAAATTTGAAATTTCATCGTTTTAGTAAGAAGGTACCTACCTTATGATTTAGATTTTGGAAAACTTTGAAAGGTCATAACTTTTTTTCTATTATAGATAGAAAGCTGAAACTTTCACTGAATTTTATCCCTTTCAAAGGACTACAATCCCTGAAAATTTCAGCTCATTGGCGCTTATAGATCCTGAGATAAAATTGTGTTAAGCAATTTGGGGTGATTTATCAATTTTTCAATTTTTCTGAGTGCCTTTTTTCATAGATTTCGGCTTCAAATCTGAGAATAATTTAGTGTATGGTGTTTGGGGTATGTTTATTAACCATTAGGATACAAAATCTCGACAAAAAAAAATTTGAAATTTCATCGTTTTAGTAAGAAGGTACCTACCTTATGATTTAGATTTTGGAAAAATTTGAAAGGTCATAACTTTTTTTCTATTATAGATAGAAAGCTGAAACTTTCACTGAATTTTATCCCAATTAAGACACTACAATCCCTGAAAATTTCAGCTCATTGGCACCTATAGATCCTGAGATAAAATCGTGTTAAGCAATTTGAGGTGATTTATTAATTTTTCAATTTTTCTGAGTGCCTTTTTTCATAGATTTCGGCTTCAAATCTGAGAATAATTCAGTGTATGGTGATTGGGGTATGTTGATTGACCATAAGGATACAAAATCTCAACAAAAAAAAATTTGAAATTTCATCGTTTTAGTAAGAAGGTACCTACCTTATGATTTAGATTTTGGAAAAATTTGAAAGGTCATAACTTTTTTTCTATTATAGATAGAAAGCTGAAACTTTCACTGAATTTTATCCCAATTAAGACACTACAATCCCTGAAAATTTCAGCTCATTGGCACCTATAGATCCTGAGATAAAATCGTGTTAAATATTGAGGTGATTTATTAATTTTTCAATTTTTCTGAGTGCCTTTTTTCATAGATTTCGGCTTCAAATCTGAGAATAATTCAGTGTATGGTGATTGGGGTATGTTGATTGACCATAAGGATACAAAATCTCAACAAAAAAAAATTTGAAATTTCATCGTTTTAGTAAGGAGATGATTTAGATTTTGGAGTGGAGGACTACGATCCCTTGGACTTATAGTTTCAGGTATAAAATCATGGGGAATTTCAAAGGATTATTAAGACACAAAATCTCAAACACACATTTTCTTTATCAGAGTAAATTATTTTTAAATTGATTATAAATAGAAATGCGTCAATATTTTGCTCCTCACAACGTTCAGCAATTTTACGTCGATAATAATTATTCCATTTTATAAGACAGGCTCTTGTCTGATTTTTTTTAGAAAAAATTAAGTACTTCAACCCTCTTCAAACCGATTAAAATCCGTAAGGTCAAAGAAAACGGGTTGTAATTTGACAATAATTACAATTAAAAAGAATTCGATTATGGCCAAAGTGTCATTAGGGCGTTAAACCGTTCAGAATTTAATTATTTCGGCGGAGTGGAGATTCCCTCCCGAATGACAATGGAGATAGAGGAGGGCAAAGAATCTCTCTTCCGGCCTCGTTATTTCAAGATGTCCTTCAAGTTTTAAGTGAGTTCCCGGGGCGATGGGAGGCTTGATTTTACACTATTTGGTTTAATGAAAATTTTGGAATTTTGCTGTAGAAAGTTTCACGTACATATTAAAATTCCAAGGAAGGATTAAGTGTGTTGTATGAGTTGGATTAGTTTTTGAGATTATGTTGTGCTAAATATTTTTATAGAGTGACGTAGGAGGGGAGTTTTCAAACAAAATAAAATCCATCTCACCATATTGCAAAAATTCAAAGCTTTCCATCAACGCCAATTGGAAACATTTATATTCTCTCGCCAAATCCGAGAAAGAAAGAAAAAAAGCTAATGGTGACACATATAGAACGACAAATCACCCAGAAAACCGACAAAAAGTTCCCATAAAAGCCAAGCAATAAACGTACCCAAGGAGAAAAAAAAGAAAGAAATCAATTTTTATCGTGAAGCTTTCGAGATAAACAAATATAATTCAATACACTCGACAAATTAAAACAGGAGAAAAGTTATTTTTCCAAGAGCCAAACGATTTGGCAACGGTAACCGTATCCTTGCAATGCCAAGTCTGTCCGGGATACACGGTAAAGTTTGTCCCGGTAATAAAGTTTAGTTGTTTTGGAGTTTTAATACCTTTTCCGGAAGATCTTTCCCAAAAATTTAATAATTCATCAGGGGATGGGTCTTATAATTGGATGCTTAAAAAAAAGTTGGCAATTTTGAGTTTTAGGGAGGGGTTGCTGTTTGGTTTTCCAGGATTTTGAGAGACTTTTTTTTATCAAGGGATCTTATCCATTGAGTAATGCGTTACTAATTCTTCCATTAGGTAGGTATTTATACAGTTATGTATGTATGTACAAAAATCCCAAAAACACCAAAAATTAAAGTTTTCACTACCTGAGTACCTACTTACAAAATCTTTTCAACAAATAAATGCACCAATTCAGAACATTTTGATGTGTTGGCTATAAATAATCTAGAATCCATCAATAAATTAAAAGTTGATAATTAAAAACATGATTCATTATACAACCACAATCAATATAAAGTTGTTTTTGTGGGGAAATCCACCTCGATGGAATATAATTTTATTTAGAAGCAAAATACCAGTTGAGATTTGTCATCCTTGAATAAGATTTCGTTGTGTATTTAAATTTTACAAATCCCAGTTGTGCATATGTGAAGCAACCAACTATTGTTACCGGTACTCTTAATAATTGTCTGGTATAAAATTCATTTACCTTTTAGCCTTGAAAAAACCTGTGATTTCAAAAAGCGTTATCGTTTTGTTTATAAACACAACAACAGGATTATATGAATTAGTGAGTAGATTACTTGGGTAAGTTAACCAGGGCATGGAAAAGTTATTTGTTTGCAAAATTATTTTTTTGTTTTAGAGTAAAAATGAAAATACTAAATTTGATATTATTGGTGTCGTGCTACGTCCGGAATGCAAAATCGGACGTTGTTTTCGAAATATCGAACAGGGAGCCGGGTCCTATTTGGATCGGGATCCAGGGCAATCCTGGACATCCGCATTTGCATAATGGCGGATTCGCTTTGAACCAAGCACAAACGGTAAGAATCTACTTATATTTTAAATAAGAAAAACTATATTTTCTATTGCTTCGATTTTGAAAAAGTTTCGTTCATGTTTGATCGATGAAACAAGTTAGGGAATATCGAAAAAATTACATTTTTGCTTATATTGATGTATCTTGACTTATTCTCTAGATTCTGGAAGTTAAACAACGTAAAACAAAATATGTTGGAAGTACACAGAATTTCTCTAGATTCTTCATAGGAACTATATAATTGCTTTCATTTCATTTAGTCGTACAATTATCATTCTAAGAGAAGCTCTTACATATCGTAATAAAAACTTAAAATTCAAGCTTAGTAATGCTCAGAAAGTGCTCCTAATTCTCAACTAAATTATACTGGAAAGCACTGGCGTAGCTAAACCAAACGTGGACGTCGGCAACATCCGAATTGCGAGGCCCTTTTTATGAAGGGGTGGTCATATTTTTTGTGACAAAAAAACTGAATATAAGACAGGGATGGGTAGCTGCCGGCAGGCCCCCCGAACAGTGACGCTTTAACCTTTCTGTGGCCCGTAGGTCATTTATTTGGTATGGCCTTCCATGAATCATTGTAAAATCATTCAGACGATTTCAAACTACTAATCTGGCAGAATATGAAGACAAAAAATGTTGCCAAGTAGTATCCGGTAAAATCAAAGGAAGGTACTACAAAATGATGGAAGAAGAATGGTCACAAAACATGCTATATGGTCGGAACGTCCTAAAAGAAAATGATGGCATTGAGCTCCCAGCCTACCAATCACCACATATGGATGCTGGGGACTAACAGCCGTATTCATAGTCAATTGCCAGCGACTCGCCAGGGAGCAGTGTTGCCAGATCTCACGATTATTCGTAAGATTACACGATTTTTATCAGAATTTCACGATCTCACGAATTTGGTAGCAATTCTCACGAACTCTCTCTGTAGTAGTACAAATCAGTAATTAAATATAATGTTAATCAACATAAAAATCCACTAAACAATATTTAAATATGTTACGCCGCTCCTGGTGCATGCGCGCCCAAGAACGTTAGAGTTGGGTTCGGTAATTGCTTCTGCGAGCAAAAACAGCAAATTTTGACAAACGCCACGTGATCACTTGTCTTTTTTTCACTTGTCAAATCACGTGACATCTGTCAAAATTTGTTCTTTTTTGCTCGCAGATGCAATTGCCAAACCCAGCCCATAGGACTGCTTATATTGATCTGAAAGTGTGAAAGTGTCTGCAATGTCAGTCTCAGACCTCAACTTTTGGCGTAAAATGCAGTATGTATCCGAATTCCTAAACGTTAAAGTCACCAATCACCGTTTCCGAATTTAAAATTGACGAAAAAATTGACGCACAAGCACAGCCTGAATCGCAAGAAATCCATCGAGGTCTGCGGGTGATAAATTACTTCACTTTACGCACTAGTGTGTAAAGTATTTGTATATCTATTGGTTTAGGTACACATATTTTATTGGTAGTGGAAATTTTTTTGTATATGCAATACGAGTGTAAAGTAGACTTTTTTTCACGAATGTGGATTTTAACACGTTGAAGGACAGAGACGCAGATCAGCGTCATTTCCTGAAGTTGTTATGTGACGCAACGCTGATATGCGTCTTCATATCGATGGTGAAATGACACGACACCGTTCAGTATTTGTATCTAAAAAAAAAATATCATACAATTTGACGTAAATTCAATCGCCACCGCCAGTGTCACAATACCTTCAAATATCAGTGCCGTACTGTCACATTTGAAATTTATTCCCAGACCCCCCACTCCACATAGAAACAGAACGCCGTCCAGCGTCTGCATAAATTGGTATCTTACAGAAATGTTCACTGTGCTTCAACGTGTTAACGCACGAGCCTTGAAAAAAGGTTCACTTTACACACTTGTTGCATAAATAGCTATTTGGGCGAAGTCCAGATTTTGTCCGGATTTCTTGATTCCTTTGTCCTGAATTCCGAAAAACCATTATGGAAACCATAGCGGGTGACATCACTCACAGACCAGCTACCGACTCGAGAATTGGCGGACGTACTCCTTATGAGCATTCCTGCGGATAGTGATCTAAGTTGAAACGAGACTTCTTCCAGAAACACCTTAACGCTAAAAAACGAAAATACAAAGATTAGGGTTGCTACCTGTCCGGTTTTCACCTGGACTGTCCGGTTTTTTAAAGCTTTGTCCGGTGTCTGGACGCATGATAAAAATGTCCGGGAATATCTGGATATAGTCTATCGATAGTCAAATGAGACAGTAAAAAAAATAATATTCCTTTGGCCGTCGGCGCTTTCTTTATGAAGCACTGGCGGACTAAGAGAAATTTATTAAAACAGTTTTATATAAAATAAAACATGAGGCACGATACAACTCAAATAGGAATCAAATTTATAAAAACTTTCTAGTGCACTGTCTTTCCAGACGAAACTGATTAGCAAGCGGCGGCCGCTTCAAAGAAATACGCCGCCAAAGACGCCGCTTCAAAGAAATATGCCGCCAAAAACGCCGCTAAAAAAATCTAACCAATAAGATATTCCTGGAGTCAACGTTGATTGTATAAAACAACCAATAAGATGCATTGTTCGCACGTGGATTCGCATCCAATGTATACGGGCACGCTCCAATATAGGGTTGCGGCAATACGATAATTTGAGGAGACCCCAATTTTTGCCTTGTCTCATTTGACTCATTTGAGAAACAATAGACTATAACTGTATAATTAATAATAATTAATACTTAATATAAAATTTATAAAGGCGATTGCCGAACGCTTTAGGATATACCTAACTAATTTCCTCGCTAATTTCTGAACGTACCTACTTCTTGAATGACGGGTGTGTCACGAACTTTTCTGCCTAATAAAACAATAGTTATTTGTTTCACTAGGCAGAAAAGGCATAGCCGAGGCTAGGAAACCAGCCGAGGCATTAAATCTGCTTTTCTGCCATGTAAAACATATAATTTTTGCTCCGAATGTTCAAATTCACACATGGACATCTTTTTTATATTAATTTCATTCATTATTATTATCCAAATAATTAAATTATTTTGACAATTGTCATTGTCACCATCAATTTCAAATACCAAATTGAGTGAAATTATTACCTGGAACGTTGTGACACTGTCACTTTTAATGCCTAGGCAGTAAAAGTCCACTTTTACTGCCTAGGCAGTAAAAATACTACTTTTGATCCTGTCAAGTGTCATTAAAAGGCCGCTTTTACTGTCATTCGGAGAAAAATAATTATGTATGTGTTGTGTGGTTCTCCGTGCTTACTTACAAGTGTCTCTATTTTTTTATTTTAAAATAGACAGTAACTACAAGGGGTGGCGTCTAAAATTAGGTAGGTACCTTTTTTAATTTTTGTCTAAAAATTCATTTCACAGATATGAGTGTAAATTATGCCACAAAAAAAGTTAGCTTCGATTATGTACGGGATTTCGGAAATCAAAAGGTGGCAACCCTAACAAGGATACAAGAGATTTAATAATAAAATGTTTATGAATGTAAAATCATGTTTACCTACTCCACTTCATCAAAAATGTATAAAAGAACATTCTTGTGCTTATTTTCTTATAATATTAAAGCAATTTTAAGTCTCACGATTTTTTTTTCTTGATTTTCACGATTTTTTTTAATTCCATTTGGCAACACTGCCAGGGAGTCGCCGTGTGCTGGGCCAAATACGACGAGTCGGAGTCGCTGGCGATTGTCTATGAATACGGCTGTAAGTGTACTGATGGGTGCTTCGGAAGAACAGCTGCATGGTTTGGGATCAAATCCATTAACGAGGAAAAGATGCATCACGGGTTGCAACTCTAAGGAAAATTCGTACCACGTTGCCTCTGCATGTCCTACAAGTTCAACAACAACAAGGCACGACTTCGTGGTACACTGGACCCTTGAGACACTGCTCAAGTCCCAGGATGCTCCAGAAGAAGCTCAAAAAAACTTACAATTTGGCAAAGCGGCGCAAACACTAACAGGTTCCTGCTGTAGTCGTTACCAGTTGCCACGTGCCCGTGCTGCGCTAATGACGCGACGGCGATTCAGCGCAGCTCGGTGTCTCTAGGGCGTGTTGCGGATTGATGCTCGATGGAGCGAGCGGAGCAACTCCAGAGCATCGTGACGTCAGGCAGTGCACTCTGGCCAAACAAAATGTGCTTGTGCAGTGTGAATTATAAGAATTAAAGAGTATTGAAATGCTAGTCCTGCTATTAAACAAGTCGATGTTTTTAGTATAGTGGGCTTTTATATTTTAAATTAAAGGCCAGCAGTTGGCCTTCATTCTCTAGTGGCCCGTAGAACATGACCTAATTGTCCTAACGGATAAAGTGTCCCTGCCCCCGAACCGAAAGATAACCGCGGAAGGCGAGAATTTTTTGAGTGTCACGCCACCTTTTTCAGGTATATCAACGATAGTCATTTTCAGTCAAAATTATTAATATTTTTCCGCTAAAAATCCTATAGCCAAAAATAAATTTCTCATTTATTACAGTATGACGCAAACATGGACCGACAATTTTTAGTAGGAATCAGGAAATTTTTCAGGAAACCTAATTAATTTCCGAATTCCTGTATGTTAGTATGTTTATGTTTGCTGTTTGCTGTGCAAAATCAAATGCTGGATAGACTTTCAAAATGCTGTAGAATGTAGAGGGTGTTTCCTTATATTTTGACCCCTACCTACAGCTTTAGCTATACGAAGTATAAAAAAACTTTAAATATGAAAATTGTAGGGTTTTATCTCTATTATCTTTTTCGAATGTCAAAATGGGCAAGTGACAGGTGTCAACTGTCACAATGACAAACACTTGCATTTTTCAAATGGAACACCCTGTATATTTTCGTCTAGAATGATAGATCGTTTTCTTCTGATTCCAAACATACCATATACTTATGTTGATATTTGGTTCAGCTGTTTTTACGCTAATCGAGTTTAAAAATGCATTTACATTACCCTTAATTTAATCTGTCCTGGTTTCTTATATCAAT